GCAACCATCCTCACAACAGTCCTTCAGTCAAGCAATACTACTATTTCTGTATACTTTCTTTTTTTGTTGTGTTCTGAGTTCTCACGTTTTCTATAAACAAATTGTGATAACTTTTGTTTGAACTTAGTTCTAAAATATGAGCTTCTGGAATCTGCCAGCAATGGAAGAAATTGCAGTAAAATTTCTGCAAGAATACAGAATTTTGCTGAAAATTTTCTACAACGAATAATGAGAAAATGCATCGGTACAACTCTAATATACGCCCTAATTTCACCAAATGTGGCGATATGTGTTTTGCGCTGGTTTTGGGCGCGATTGCGTGTTCTATGACAACCCTGTTGACGTTGAAAAATCTTTAGCTGGAGCTCGTTGGTTCGCCTCTGTGTCTGAGAAGATGGGAGGGAAAGATAAAATGGTAGTTATTGAATTGAAGTTCTGCAACAGGAAATATGATTGTGGCTATCCTGTTGAGGGGTAGTGGGTATTTAGAAGTGTGGAAAGAGGGTCTGGGAGATTATTTTTAATGGCAGTGCATGATAGAAGTAGGGATTTGTGATTTTATTTATTTGTGAACCATAGTATAAATTTTCTGGATAGTGTGTCTGGCTGTCATGTAAATACGATAGTGATTACGTGGCGGTTTGAAATTTATACTTCTGCTATTCGAAAATGCATTAATTCATGGTAAGTGCATTTTATTTTATCCTTGTTCTTATTTTGTAGAATGTTATGTTCATTGGTTCTTTAGTATGAATTTCTGTCGTTATTGTTGTTTTTTTAATTGTTTGAAATTTATTTTAGTTTTTTGTTGTTTTAGTGTCTAGACTGTACAATTCGTAGATGTTTTTTAAAGTTGAAACAGAACGCTGTGTACATGGTATTATTTGAAATTTATTGTTGTTATGTTATTTTATTAAAGCGAGGAGTGCGTAGATCGTAGATTCCTTCCTTGCCTAAATTGTGCAATTCGTAGAATTTTTTTTAAGTTTAAACAGGATGCTGTGTACATGGTATTCTTTGAAATTTATTGTTGTTATGTTAATTTATTAAAGCGAGGTCTGCGTAGTTTGTAGATTCGTTCGTTGCCTACATTGTGCAATTCGTAGATTTTTTTTTTAAGTTAAAACATGTCGCTGTGTACATGGATTCTTGTCAAATATTTTTGGTTAGAAACTTTACGTTTTTTCTACCTAAATTTTTTGTTTTTGTTTCGGATTTTTAGCTAAATTGTGTGTTCAAAACGTAGTTTTTGCATGTGCGAAAACCGCGTTTTTGGAGACATTTTAGGCTAAAAGTTCAAAATGTAGACAAAAAAATTTAGATAGTAATATGGCAGCGTGAAGTTTCTCGCCAAAAATATTTGGTGAGAAATTTGGCGACTTGAGGGCACATATCAGAGTAGTTCCAATGCATCTCCTCCATAGCCACTGTTGCCGAGAATTGCACGAAGCAGAGTCTGATTTTTTAAAGACAAAACAGATTGTTATGTAGAAGGACACAGCAAAAAAATTATAGATAGATTTGAAGAATGTGTTTTTTTTTTTTTTTTCAAATGTATCATGTAATCCTTATTTAATAATTCAAATTTGTATTTTAAATTGTTAAAGTATGTTTTCTTTTCATAGGTTGATGTTTAACGATTTACAATAAACATTACAATAACATTATTTCAGAAACCTCGTTAAAATAAAAGTGCAAAAACCACCAACATACACCTGATAAGTTATTTACAACTTTTCATCGGTAAAAAAATATACAAAATGAGCCAAGGTGGTTCCATTAATACTTAACTACCTATTATATTTTTCAATAACATTTCAGTATGTGAAAAAAACAATAAAATTTCTAAGTATGTGAAAGAATACTTTTTTTGAACATTTTATTCTAAAAAGAATGAAATGTTATGCTTTTGCCATATTTGGAACAGTTTGAATTTGAGAGAAATGTTTTCACCAGTTTTTGTTAATTACATTGTTATTATTATTCACGTGTTCCGCCCTAAGGAACTACATGGAATGGAGTGATGCCTTTGTGGAATACTTTCTATGGGAAAATGGCTCACATTAACACGTTACACATGGGAACAACTACGAAAATACCCATGCAGTCAGCTTGTTTGCGGGATTTGAACCTCAGACAAAACTACTCGTGTTCTGGGACTTTACCACTAGGCCGCTAGTGGACCTGCTAATTACATTAGAAAGGAATTTTATTTGCTTAAAGATTAAAAAACAATTAGTTAACAGTATTAATAACATTAAAATCATGCATTATTTTTCTATTTAACAGCTTCTTTCTGAAATACTTTCTCAAATATGAGATGATTTTCAGCTTCCGAGATATCTTCAAAATCATAGTCAATAATTAATGTTCTGTTTGGTTCATTTCAAATTAGAGCAAGTTTTTATTTTGTAGTTAAATACTGCTGCTGATTTCTGATTTCCATGTACTTAATTTTCGATTATTTCTGAAAGGTGTTAAAAATGGGGTTTGTTAATATTATTTAAAACTTATAACTGAATTATTATAAAATGTTAAGAAATAATTCTTTTAACACTTATTTAATTTTTTTTACCCTTGATTTCAACAATACACATTACAAAAATTCTACTTTAATACTTCGTTAAGTACACATCTCATAGACAGTGCTTTCGATCTTTTAATAGACTATTTCCCAGAATGAGCAAGTCTTCCTTTAATAGTTTTATAAATATACTTGTCAACAGAATTTTTATTTATGTTTGCAATTAAATGCTAAGGTCATTATATATTTAGATAATTTTTATAATCATCATAAATTTAAATATATTCACTAACTAGATTTTTTTACAGTAACATTCACAGAAGTTTATGAATAAATAAATCATTCATTTCCAAATACAGTTATAGATAATTTAACAAATATTTACATATTTAGTTAAAAGCAAATATATGTTTTTTATGAGGATGTGCATAAATGCTCATATATATTTCATATTTTTAATTTTCAGCATGAGCAAATCTTTTATTTTCTGTACATTTGCTACATTTTTAGACCAAAGTAATTTACAATTATTTAACATATATCAGAATTTTTACATAAGAATAATACATTTGCAAAAATATACACTGAATAAAAATTACATGTATTATTTTTAATATGCACTCAAAAAGGTAAGTTTTCCTTCAAAAGTACTCTGTAAAGGCATCACTCCTCTAAGGCAGGTAGCCCTTGCATGCTTTAACATATTTTGAAAACTTAATCTGACCTATGTGCCAAATTACAAATATTTTCACGTGTATAATTCTATATTTACATTTCGACATCAAGTTGTAAACTTTTGGCTTAAAACACATTTTTTGGATACATTCATTATCAAATTCACATTTTCTAGGAAATACAGTTTGGCAGAAAATTCAATACCTATCTTATCAATTTTACCAAATTTAATAGTTCTCTTATAATATAATAAATAACAACTATCCATTTCACATCTAAACATAAACCTCACTGTCATCAGATCACAATCTTGATTGTTTTACTCTCCATACTAACATTGTTTCATTTTTTGAAACTGTTAAAACAGCTAACTGAGCTAAATTCAGAAATATTTTCTGATATTGTGCTTAATTAGCACATGGCATTTGAAATATTTAAGGTTACTTTGCCATAGAAGACGTCAGGAAAACAGTCTAGGTCATATTTAAATGCTTTAGTATAACAGAAACTATATGTCAAACATAACTGAGCTCCAAATATATGGAACCACAGCCTATCCAAATATTGGAAAAATCTGAATTATTGGTTTTTATAATTATTTTGTGGTGATTTAGAAGTCAAACCACAAAAATCAGGGTTATATTTGCATATTTTCAAAGGACTAGTTTCGATGGTTTTATCGAACCATCATCCTCAGCTGCCAAAGCGCAAATGAACAAGATACAGTGATTAGTTAAGGTAAGAATGGATGGACAAGAATTAAGCTACTGGTATCATCAATTTATGAAACAAGAACTAAAACATAATTCCTGAAGGCAAAGATGGAGGGTCCTTAACTACAACAGAAAGAGGTGGTTTTTTTTTTTTTTTTTTTTTTTCTTAATGTGAAACATCTCTAGAAAATCTAATTCACCAATGGAAGATGTTTTTTGAATAATTTTGGCTGCACGAAAAATGAAAGTGTGTTTTTCGGACCAACAATGCTGAGCAACAAAGTGCTTCCTTTTTTTCTAACATATGCTGTATGTTCCTTAATGCAAAAATAGAAACAATATGATTGATTGGCTTAGAAATATGAAATAGAGAGCTTCAGTAAGTAACTAGAAACAAAGTAATGACTTGTAATGGAGTAAAAATAACAGAGAAGAGCTACAAACCATACACAATGATGGCAGCAAATTTTGAAATATCCACAATTGCAGCAAAAGAAAGTAAAGCCCGCAAAATACAGACATAAGTAGCATCACAACATAAGAAGCATCATAACTTATTCTGGACAAATTAATGCAGAACGTGTTGTAAGTGATCAAAGGAAAGTCAAATGTTTAACCAAAGATGTTACCCAAAATATTAAAAAAAAAAAAAAAAAAAAAAAAACCATTTCACTGGAACATTAAGAAACAATTTTTAAATTTGGAAACAGACTTGTGGACTTCATTATGCTCATGTCACATTTTATTAAAAGTATTTTATATAAATATTGTGCTTAATAATAAAACGTACGGCAACTATTGGAAGCATTTCTTTGCAAGATGGTCTAGTAATCTTCTGATGCATATTCAACAAACTTTGTTTAGTGTTTAACTTTGAAATTTATAAATAATGCTTTATTAGCCATTACACAGTACTCACTGTAAACTGACACAGTGATAACACGATAAGTCTGACTTAAGTACATCCAAATAAACATGATATCAAAACAAAAAGACATTTCTGAATAATAGTATACTGACAAAATATATCTTTAAAAGGCCATGAAGACAGAATATAATTATTTCATAGTTATTTAAGGAGAACCAACCTAAAGCGCTAACAGTGCCCAGGAATCTCACTCCATACTTTAACCACCAAGGAGAGTCATCAGTGGTCTGCTGAGCTTTGGGAGTACCAGCTGTAGGTTCTGGATTCATCATATTGAAAATCTTTTGCTTACAAATTCATTTAAAATTTCGCATAGAAGTATATAGAATTCAATGGAAGAGTGCCAACAACACAGCTGTCAGAAACACCAGCCGTCGGCAAATATTGCGAACTCCGTTAAACATACACTAATCTGCACTTTCCCACCAATGAGAACGATACGGTTGCGCATGTGTACAAATGGTGAATTTACGGTAGTCTGAAGTATTCAGTCACTGCTAAATCCCCAAACGCGCAGAGAGATCACGTGACATGATGTCACATCAAAGGTACGCCCCTTACGGTCAGTAAATTTCTGCGCATAAATTGAAACATGCTTGTGCAATATGAATTTCAGAAGCAGAGAAAATTTTTCTGAAAATACTACAGATGCTAACTAAATACATACCAAATATTAACATTTTAACATGCATATCTTTTCAATATACTCTTGTGTTTATTTTAAATCATTGAGAAACATATGAGATTTCAGTTTTAAATTGATTCTATTAATATTTCCAGTACATTTCATCTAATAATTGGTGTTTTGTGCTTTAATTTCATCATTGTATTAGAAAAAAATTAATATTTGTTTCTCTGTATATTATTCAAATGAATAATTAATTAATTTAAATTTACGAACATTTTGTAATAAATGTGACAACTTGTATTATTTTATTGTATATCTGAAAGGAACCTGTTTTAAACATAAATTATTTACATAATCTTTGGATGGAAAAACTGTCATGTAATATATTTAAACAAAAGATCTACTGGAAGATTTTGTTTTAGGTTTTGCATGTTCAGAATTTTTAATGTGTACTATATAAGTTTGTTCTGAATAGTTTTGAAAAGTATATTGCACCCACACTAAATTTAAATAAAAATTTTTATCGTGTGAAATACACTCAAATTTTAATATGAATGAGCCCTTGTGAAGCTGCCAAGGTATTTTCATAGAAAGCTAATATCAATTTAAGGCTTAAAAATGACTTCAAAGATGGATTCCAGGCTTTTCTAGTGTAGATACGAGCCAGTTTCCCCCAGAAAGTCCTTCACAAAGACATCCATCGTTTTAGGTTGATAGCCCTTATGCGCTATAATCAAATAAATTAAACCAAGCTTTTGTAAGAATGTGATATTCTTTCTTCCTTATTATTATGGATCCTGTGTTTTAAAGTTGTCAAGATTTTTGATGAATCGCCAATCTAAACTATTCTGAAACATCTGGCAGCCCCAACAATGATGATTTACAGTTTGCTTATAATGAGAAGAGCTTCGAGGAGACCATGTGATCATATTTCTTCCCATGCAATGTTAATAATTCATAATCACTCAGAATTCTCTTATCACAAGTAAAGCTCTCAGTATTCTATATGTTAATGAATTTTATTTATATTTTAATCTTAAAATTCTTAATTTACTGAGAAGTGGGGAAGATGCTTGCCATATCTTTCTTTCAAGAAATGCACATATTTTACATCACATTCGAATATGCAAAAATGGACATTCAATAAAATTTCACATCAGTGAAAGCATTTAGAGGTGCAGCTTGAAAATTTGCTAATGAAAGAAAAATATATGTTTTAACAGCTGGTTTAGTGGTTTCAGAATACTATTTGTAACAGCATAAAATGAAAGAAACACTACAAAAGTGTGACTATTCACTGAAACATTTTTACGAGAGAGATGTATTCTCTGCATATGATCCGCCAACCAAATATGTGAATAGGTGGCCCTGAAAAAATTTTGAACATAGCAGAAAATCTATTTATACAGCAAAAAACAAAAACTGGCATGATTCTTCCATAATGCTGTATAAATGACAAGTTATGCCAAAAAATTGAAAAATTCTTTCTCACTCAGTTTCTAAATAGAGAGACATCGACACTCATGCCAAAAGTTGTCGACCATCTGCAAGAGGGAGTGACAATTTATTCAAACTTCTGCTGAGAATATAAAAGACAAGAACTGGTAAATACCAGCTTACAGATATTTTTCTGTGGACAATAAATTTCATTTCCTTGATCTAACAACAGCTGCTCATATGTAAAATATAGAAAGACTGTGGAGCTTCGCTAAGTGATGGAATAAAAATTGAAGAGGCACATTTCACTATCATCATGAATCTTACTTTGCAGAGTTAATAGAGCAAAAATCTTTGAGACCTTGGAATGCTTCTTATGCCATATTAAAAGCAATTGAGGAAGCAGGGCAGTAACAAAGTGTACATGAGACATGAAGTTGGCAATAATTCTGAAGCCAGCTTGATGTTTAAAAAAAATGGAAGCTGCAATACTAAAGAAGTATCGTAACATTTTTAAAACTAAGGTTCTGTTTATATTTCAGTTCATTTCGTTGCCATATCAATATGTTTTAATTTTGATGTCCTCCAATTATGAATGTCTTTTAATTTATTTTTAAAATACAGAAATGTGTCATTACTCTGTATTACGTATGTTTTAGTTAATTTCATAACACATCACACTTGGACTTGAAAATTTACTGATGTCTCCTCAGAGGAAATTTCTAAATCTATAAATGCTTGAGCAGAAAGAGGCTGTGTTGAAGTTGGTAAAGGATATTTAACTGGTTGATAAGGGCATTATTTTAATAGCCACTGTATTGTCTATTAAACACATAATTTATCTACGAGGGGTGATCCAAAAAAAAAAGTTTACAAGGCAAATGAAAAAGTATTTATTAACAATAGAAACAAGATACAAATGAGAATCAAGAGATACATCTGGCCTTCACTTTTCCACATAGTCGCCAAACCTGTTTAGGCATTTGTCAGAACGTTCGACGAACTTGTTTATCCCGTCTTGGTAATAATCAGGGCCCTGCTCATTGAGCCATTTCTCGGAAGCTGTTTTCACTACATCGTCTGAGGTGAACCGTGTTCCGGATAAGTATCGCTTCAACGCCGGAAAAATGAAATAGTCACTTGGAGCCAAATCGGGGCTGTATGGGGGGTGATTCCAGGCCTCCCACTTGAACCTTTGCAGCAATTCCTGAGTCTGGCGAGCTGTATGGGGCCAGGCATTGTCATGCAGAAGAATGATGTCTTTGCTCAGTAATCCAGGCCGTTTGCGTCGGATGGCTTTTCGTAATTTCGTTAAGGTGGCACTATAACGATCGGCCTTAATGGTATGGCCACGCTCCAAATACTCGATTAGGACAACACCAGTCGTATCCCAGAAAACGGTTGCCATCACTTTACCGGCAGAGGGTGTGACCTTAAACTTCTTCCTCGTCGGTGATCCAGCGTGTTTCCACTCCATCGTGGCTCTTTTGGATGTGGGGGTGAAGTGATGAAGCCATGTTTCATCACCGGTAACGATGCAATCAATGAAGTGTTGGCCGTCTGAATGGTATCGCTGAAGAAATGTGAGGCTGCACATCATTCGAGTGTCCTTATGCTAAACGGACAACGCACGAGGAACCCAGCAGGCACAAACTTTGGAATATCGCAACTCGTCGGTTGCGATGCGCTGAACGTTACCATAACTCAGGTCTAACTCTGAGGCAGTCTCACGCACGGTTACTCGTCGATCCCTTTGGTTGATTTCTTCAACACGTGCTGTGCTGATATCCGTCCTTGAAGAACTTGGACGGCTGCTCGCTTCCATATTGCGGTTTTCCACATGCTCCCTGCCCGCTTGATAAGAACGACACCATTTCACTAACTGTTGTCTACTCATTGCTTTGTCCCCGTATACCTCAACGATTTGTCTGTGAATTTCAGATGCGGCCACATTCTTTGCCCATAAGAATCGAATTACGGCTCGCACCTCTATGCGAGACCACTTTTCTAGACGTCGTGCCATTACTGTCGCTCTTAAGTGTCTGCGTACTGACGCTACTTACTCGTAGAACCGCTGTAGGACAACTAGCGCCATGTGTCAACCACCCTTGGTGGAAATATTCGCTCCACAATTATTACGTTTCAAATGCTTCTGCTTGTAAACTTTTTTTTTGGATCAACCTACGTATTTCTGTATAATATTTGGCACTGTTTCTTTATCAGGACCTAATTCAGAAATGTAGATATGTATCCATGTATGTGTTCATATATGTAAGTACGAATGTACGTGTATACACATACGCATATATGTGCACATGCATACATTTGTTAATTCGGTCCCGATAATAGAACAGTACCTAATATTTTGCCAGTTGATTTATTTTCGTACACCTCCACCCATAAGCCATGAGAATATATTGATGAAGCAACGAACCATGTCGCCAAGAAGCATTAAGTGGCAACCCATGATGTCACCAAAAAATTATAGCATTTTCCCAGATGGTTTTTCAGTAGCATGACTGCAGATTGTGATCCTTCCAATGGGAATTTTTATATTTTAGCCTAGTGGTGGACAGCATAGTGCAGTTTTGATTGTTTTCGGCAAAATCTCATATTTAGCCTTATGCATGCATAGACTCTAATGTGCCTTGTTTTAAAGACATCATGCACCTCTTTCTTCTTTTTGTTTTTAGAATTTTAATAGCAAGTTTATAATATTCTCAGTTGTTTCCTTACCTGAAAACAGATGACTGTGTATATGGTGAGAACAAAAGCACAAAAACTTAAACGTATATGTATGTTATATAGAAAAAGGAGAATATAGAAAAACAAGTGGTAGTGGATGAATCGTTGCAATAGATATAATGCTTCTTTCCAATGATGCAAATGAGTTATTACAGTTAAATGCCTAATGACCTTACAGGGTATGGATGTCTAGGAATACGAAACGATCAATAACACATATTACAGATAATGAGTAATTTTCTCTATAGTTCAAGAAATTTTTTAAAAATACCTTAAAATGTGTGATTTACCATAACTGTGAAAATTGCATTCAAATTTAAGGTTAGGTTATTTTAATATGGCACAAGTACACAAGGGCTACATGCCTAAGGACAGGGATACCTTTGTGGAGAACTTTCTAAGGGAAACTAGCTCATATTCATGTTACACACGGAGAAAAACAACCATGCAGCTAGATCATTTGAGTGTGTTCAAACCTGGGTTGAACTACCAGTGTTCAGTGGTCATAACTTCTCAGTGACTAGTGGGACCCATATTTAATGTGTATTAACAATATTTTCCTGCAATGGAAATGGTTCACAATAGGCAATTAGTAAAACTGAGGAGTGTTGTTAGTTCAACCCAGTTTCAAATCCCAGTAAATAGATTGATTGTATGAGAGTTTTGTGGTATTTTTCCATGTATAACATAGAAGCGAGGAACTTATCTTATAAAAAGTATTCCACAAGGGCATTGTTCCTCTTAGGCAAGTGGCTGTTCAGTCCTTTGTTATAATCTAAATAATGCGGTGTTAATTTGTAAGTATAATTATGATCCAAACAGAACTATATTCAATAATTTAAAAACTTAAAATTGTAATTTTTATAGAAAAGAATAACTTGTTTATAGACTGTACCAGTTGCGTTAATAGTACAGAATAATTTTTTTAAAACACGAGGTATCATATTTCCCTTCAGAGTTTATGCTCTATAAACACTAATGTAATAGTAATATTAAATACAGCAAAAGTTACTTAGCAGTACATAACAAATCTTTCCAAGTTTACTCTACGTTATGAACTATCAAACAGAAGTATTTACGGAGAAGATAATTCATGCATAGTGCAACAAATTTTAAAGAGACTGATTGCCTGTATGATGCAAACTGTTTTGTTATATTATTTGATACAGGCTAGCCAAAACTAGATCACAAAAGGAGATCTGTTTGGCATGTACAAAATTTTTTATATACCACAAAACACGATTTTGCAGAATTTGTGATAGTTAACTATAAATTTTTAAAACCTAGTCCGACCTTGGCATCAAATTAGCACCATTGCTGTAGAAGTACATGCCGGCCATCTTTCAAAGTAAATGCAAGTTACCTCATTGTGGTTGCGATGCATGTGTTGCTGTTAGTGATGGTTTATTTGAACAGTTCTTATAAATGTTAAATATTATTCCTTATAAATATTCATTATTAAAATAATATTTTGTTCTCCACACTTTTATTTATTGAGTATTTAAATTTTGAAACAGTCGTGGATTTATTTTCTGTTTTGCAGCTTTGAAAAATTAAAAAGAAAGATATGAAAATGTATTGTTGCTGAAAATACTGAAATAGCAAGTTATATTATTGATTGGTTTGTTGATTATGTTGATTAGTCTGTTAAGATATAATTTATGTCCTTTAAAACAATTCTTTTCCTGCATGCTTATATATATTTTTAGCAATATACCATTGCAAGTATCTTACTTACTAATAATCTTTTTAACTAATGAAACTAATTCCATGTACGCATACCTGAGAATTAAAATAATAGTTTAATATTAAATCAAGTTCAGTGACAGAAATATAGGTAGTAAAGATGAATGCTGGAATCAAAGAAAGTAAGTTGAATGGTTGATATATGTAGAAAAAAACGCATTCCTAGCACTGCTACCTATTATTTCCCAATTTGGCAGAATCTGCATTTAGTTTGTCTTTCGTAAAGAAGCAGCCTATACAATTGATATTCATTTTTTTGAATATTCAGAAATGCAGTGCTTCATAAAATTATAGCAGAGGCAACACTGCAGAACAAAAGTGTGTTGAGTGCCACACATAAAATCTGATATTTATTAATTTTTTTCAGTTTCACTTGTAAAGCATGATAAAAGTACACAAACATTTTAAAAACATACTTATTAGAGAAAAAATTAACATAAACTTTTTAATAGGAACATTATGCAGAATTTTTTTTAACACATGTGAGCTCCTTGTTTGAAAAATATGATAATTATAGAAATAGTATTACAAGATATGTGCCTGAAATTTTGCTCATTTTATATTTTAATTGCGTCATATAAAATTATTACTCAAATGCAACTAATTTCAGCATTTCAGCTTGTAATAAAAAAACTGTCTTTTTTTTTTTTTTTTTTTTTTTTTTTTTTTTTCCCCAATTTCTGATTTATGTATCTGTTGGATTTGCGAAGTCAGAGAATAGAAATTGTCTACTTTTTTTTTTTTTTTTTTTTTAACTTTATTGAATTGGCAAGGAAATTATTTAAAATTAGGTAAAAAAAATTGGAACCTAGATTTTGGATAAAACTAAATTGATTTTGAAAGCGAGGAAACACAAATCCCAGTTTGCCTGGAGCAAAGAAATTCAGTTTCTAGTTGTTTGATATCATTATAAACTGTTTTATGAGAGTTGAATATTTATCCACAAGTATGAATGGTGGCATAACAAATATCTGTTATTATGCAAGCATCATAAATCCAATAAAACACACAGATGTTTTAGCAGCAACTATATAAATTTTATTCACAAGTTTGCCCATGATTGATGAATGATGTGACATGAGAAAAAAATAGCAAATATACGGAAATGCAGTTGGTTGGCATTTTCAAAAACTTAAATCTATTTTTAAAGTCTGGTTACAAAATAACAGATAACTGTTTATATATATATATTTTTTATTCAAACGCAGTTCCATTGTGAGTTAAATTATTAATCTTACTGTGAGGTTACCATAATCCCAGTTTTATTCTGAATATTCTTTGAAAGAGAAATTTATAGACTAAATTTGACTAGTTTTGATAAGTTTAGCTTAATCAGTGAACTTGACAAAGCAATCGTATCATGTAAAAATAAGATTAAAAATATCTGATAGTACTAGAATATCTTACTGAAGATTTTATTTTACGTGTACTACATTTTCTATATAAGACCAATCTAAAAAATGATCACTATTTATTCTTTCGTTTTCTTATACGGAGAAACATAACCAAGCCATTCAGTTGTATAATGCTCGAAATCGTTCAAACATACATATTCACAGATATCCACAAAGACTTATTTCAGATTTCCGAATCAAAGTTGCCAACCATGTTTACATCAAACGAAGTTGTTGATGCTGGGCGGAGCTTCGCTGTGACGTCGGCTTACGCATTAAGCGACGATCACGTGACCTCTCTGCGCGTTCGGGGATTTAGCGCTGACCGAAGTATTCGGCCTATCGGCCTTTACTCGAAAAATTAATATCCCTATCTACTGGGCAGTCTTAGTGAAAATCTTAAACAGTACAATTTGTACGTCTTCCTTGGCGAAGCAATAGATGACGGCGAGACTTAGCGAGATTATATACAACACCTAGTGCATTCTGTTTGATTGAACATGCAGAGTAGTCAAGTGAAGAATAATGACTTCCAATATCATTAAAAATTGTCCGAGTAATAAGTTTTTGTATTTTTCGTAAGATAAATGTTCAAAGTTCATGGAAAAATACCAAAATTTTAAAAAAGATGAAGTAGAATTAATGAAAAAAAAAAATTGTGGGCGGGACTTAGCCTTGATCAATGCTATGATGTCCAATAGTCATCTGACGAAAACACATTCTGAGTAACTTGAGCAAAGATTATTTACAATACGATACGATTTCAATAAAACTTGAACTTCTGGGATAAATATTAGCAATTTGAGCTAAAAAGATTTAGCAAAGATTATTTACAACACGTTACGAGTTCTAATTAAACTTGATCTTCTGGGATAGATAGCAGGATAAATAACGAAATTTCTTGAGTAAATATATACAAATGCGTACATAGATGTTTGACTACTTCCAATTATTATTATAGAAAATTGTCCTAGGACGTTTTGAAGGGCTGGTTAATGCGGTGATCGTAATTTCCTAGATATCTAATGACATTGTGCTGATGATTATCACATTTGGAGTGAAAATGTTTAGATAATTTGAGAATTTCTTCGTTGATGGTGTTAATCTTGAAACTTTTTCTTATGACGGTGTTCCTGAC